AATATATGGAGATCCCACCCGGTATTTCTCTTCTTCGGATCTTCTCGGCCATTTTTACTTCATTTACTTTTTATCCAATTCTCATAAAAGTCTCAAGTCCTTTTATTTTATCTTTTTGGCTTCGCGCATTTTTTTTAATGTCAACTAGTCGTTTATTATCATTATTATTATTTTTTTTTCTTTTTTCATCTGTGAGTTTCATTTGATATAACCCCCGGCTCGATGCCTAATTGTTACTGCTGTGTCTAACGGTGCACGCGCAGATTTAATAGTTTGATATCCCCAGGAGGGCCCGACGACGGTTCGTCGACTTGGTGACCATGACTCGATAACGATGACGATATTGATGAGAAGAGGCCGTGGTTTCACCCACCCACCCTGATCGCCCTTTATTTTGATCCCCGCCCAACCCCGTTCGGCCTGCCATTTAAAGCAGCCTTCTGAAACAAGCGTCACTCTAATTAACTCCTTAATTGATTTTTATATATATATATTTTTTTTAATTATACGACATTTTGACTAAGCTTACCTATTGTAGGCGGGGTTGTTCAGACGCCGTACAAGTTTTGAAGTCGCTCACTAAGTTGTGGCGGAAACTGATCCGAGAAACGCTTCCAATTTTCAGCTCCTACTTGATTCTTAAAACCGTGTAATATCTTGATAAAACAAACGTGCAATTTGATTATTGATTTGCGAGCGATTAATTTAGGAAAGCTAGTTTCATTGAATTTTTCAAACATACTTTTTGTATAATGTCTCTAAGATCGTCTCGTGGTGCTGCCCATGAAGCAACAGCGTCGCAAAAGTATATAAATTCTGGAGCCACTCCACCTGGATTAACAGCTATCATTTGACACATACCTCGGAAGGCCGAATCTTTTTCTTCGTTATCACGAATATTCCTCAAGGATGTACACCTGTAGAAAATTATCATGTGAATATATACTCATTACACATTGAAAAAAATGTTTGTTTACAAATGTAGTAATAATAATATGAAAATTTAAAAACTTTATTTTGACAAATAGATAATGTGCTTAGTTTAAAAAAGATGAAGGAATTAGAATGGTAGCCTGAAGTTTAACAAATTCTTAAAACTTTACAACAAAAAGTAAAATTGTTAAATCATTTTTACAACGCATTTTATAAACATGATAAAGTAAGTAGTTAAAAAGCCATTCTACATAATTAGCATATGTTAAAAAAAGACTAATTATTTTAACTTATTAAGGAACGTTAATAGGTAGGGTTGACAACATGTATTTCAAACGATGATATTACTTATCTGCTCCTGGTTGGTAAAAAAAAATTAAAAAAAATTGAATAAATTATACATTGAAATACAAACATTGTTCCAAAACATCAAGTGAAGTTTCCATTAAATGTAATTTTACGAAAACCTATCGTATGTGTTACTTTGTAAAGTATGCTCTCATTCACAGTTGAGAGGGAACAAATAAAAATTGAAAATAAATATTAGATTGATATCAACATAATTAAAAATTTCAGTAATTTCTTAGAAATCAAGCTTTTTTGTACATAATGAAATTTCTAAATAATCTAATAGAAAAATATTCATAAAAAATGAATCATAATGTAAAAATGTATTACGTAAATCAGTGAATTAATTTAATTAATAAAAAACGTATGTATTTATACACAAATATGGCGGAAAGCTACGTAACTGTGCGAGACACATTTTAAGTTTTCGTATGTACATTATAACAATGTTGATACTTTAAAAATGAAATAAAAAAAATAAAAAATATAAACAAATTAACATTAAAACCGTATGTATATTTTTTTACTTATTCGTAAGCTGCCTAGGATTAAAAAAAACATGTGGCTTTACAAATACGACGTTATAACTGGCTCTCAAGTAATATAAAAAGTAGTATATCACAAAAATTAGGCGCAGACAGAGTTAGGAAAGGACCAGTTTAAAAAAAGAAGGGATATCAGATCTCTTGGCAATTTTTAATGCCGAAAATTCGAACAATGGATCGATAGGACAGACGCGAAGCACTTGTTTTCTTCAAACTATTTAATTTGTTCGTGATTTTCGTACTTGTCATACAACGATTCAAGTACTTTATTACAAAGTTATTTAATACTATGTAATGCAAATGACGTAATGCTGCCAATCAATACCTCTAATATACACTGTCTTGTGTGCTCCAACTTGCAATCTCCATCCGATAAATTAAACTTGTTTATAAACTTTTCATTTGTTTGCACAATAATGACTCATAGACATCCAATTCTTAAGGCAAAAAGATTAGCGCTTACCACGTAGTCATTACTTGTAAACTCTGGTAAGATTGAAAAATTAAGATGAATACATTCATTGGGTTGAACGAATTTTAAAGCAGTTTCGTTCAGATTTTTTTTTTTTAATACACAGTGATATCCTTACTGAGTATCTAAGTTTTTCTTGCATGATGCTTTTTTCAATGATTTTATGTGATAATGACCTTTTATTACTGTAATATTGTTTTTGACAGACTCACTACATATCGGTTCGAGTGAAATTACAATGCTCTTTACAGATAAAACGTTTTCTGTGAGTCTAAAACAATAAAAGGTTTTTATTTCAGTTGTGCAATAAAAAATCACCAAGTTCCATAGATTTCACGTCACAGCTCGAAACTAATCCCACAATGTGATTTTTATTAGCAGGAATTTATTTGCACGATCCTTTAAANACGTTCTGTATTTTCTTCTTAAAAAAAAAAAAAAAAAAAAAAAATCCTTACAAATATATCGACTCTATCCGTCTGTCGGAGGACACATCACGGTGCTCATGTCAGATCCTAAAATATTAATAATAAAATTAATGAAAATAAATTCTTTGGAGCATTACGTTGAAAAAAAAAATTCATACCAAGTTTTATAGAAATTTCTCCAATCGCCCAGGTGGCATTATTGCAAACTGAGATATAGTCGGGATTTAAGTTTTGACCGAGAATCGGCATGAAATCAGCTGTAAGAAAATAGTACTTTAATGCAATTATTCTATAGATTACAATAAAATGTAATAAGATTTTCCACAGCTTACGTGTGCACGGAAGTACATGTTGAAAGCATGCTTTCGATAAGTCTCCCAATAGTGCAAAACTACTCTGTCTAACTTCAGGCATCTGGTCTTGCATGCACAGGTAAAGTAGTTGCATTATATTGCTATTCACCACAAGATTTTCGATATGCCCGTTCAAACCTTCAGCTAATCCACTAAGAAGATCTAATGCGACTATCATGAAGTCTTTGTCTGGAGCCTCGAATTGTTCAGGATTTTGTATATGAGCCATATGTCGATTCAGTGTTTGCTCTACTAATGATACACAACGCCTAATAATAGTAAAGCATAAAAAATCATATGGTCTTGATAATGTAAACTATTTTAAGCTACAAAACTACGAAGAAATGACATCTTTTAATACCTATAAACGGGTTCACAGTAAGGTAAAAATCCACTCTGAAGGGCAGTAGCGACGGATGACAAGCACTCTAAAAGAGGAAATAGATCCTTATCTTCGTCTTTGAGAACGTTCCACTTATTAATGAGAGGAGGCATGAGCAAGCTTATGTAATCTGGTTTGTTCAAGTGACGTCCCACTGAATCAGCCAAGGTGCCAATGGCATCATATAGAATAAGTAGATTTTTATGCTGGTATTTGCCTATTAGTGAAATAAAAGATGAAAAAAGTTAGAGGAAGTTTTTAATGTATTTAAATAAATAAAATCAACTTGTTTAGTCAAACTCACTAAAAGCAAATACGAGTGTTTCTAAAATGAAACCTAGATAGGGGACCAGTTCAGTGCAAGCCTCTTCTTCCAGCGTTGCAAAAGCAGAGCAAGCTGCTTCTTGAACACGTTTATTACCGTCAAGTATTCTCTTCAAAAGTTCCGTCATCAGTGGTTTCAAGTAAGTATCGTGAGGTTGGGAACAAACCCAATGGGAGTAGCGACTAAGTGTCCAACACGTTATAGATCGCACTAGAGCTTTTTTGTCACTCAAGCAATTGATCAAGTAGGGAATCAACTCTGGTAAATGAGGAATCATACCGGACATGCAACCTGTAGAAATAAGTCATTACTATAAGACTGAAGCTTAAATGAGAATAATTCAATTTATAAGTGAGTTATCATTACCTTCCGCAATAGCTCCAAGTGATAAAATACCGGATTCTTTTATTTCCCAATCTTGGTGGAACAAAGTTTCTTTCAGGATAGGTAGCAGTACAGGTAAGAGTTCTTCTTTGAATACACTGGCTAGTATGTCAAGTGCAGCAGCCGAACACTTTCTCAAATTCCAATCACTAAGAGAGGAATCGTCGTCACCTCCATCTTCTTCGTCAGCCTCGTCATAAGAGCCATTTTCGTCTATGTGTTTATTCATGGGTCCGTGCTGCAAGTGAGTCTTGGATTTGTGGAATCGTGGTCTGATGTCTTCTTCCTTGTCTGGTATCATTTCATCTTCTTCCACGTCACCTTTCAAAATAATTATATCCAGTTCAGAGTATTTCATGCCCTTGACTAGCACAGGAATCAATCTAGGCAAGTGTGATACAAGAACATCTCTGCAGCATCTCTGTTCAGCCAATGCCAACCAAAATTCACATGCATCGAGGGCTACCGTTTCATCTGTGTCTTGAGTTCTCATTAGCATGTACTCAATTATGACGGGCATGTTCATGTGTAATTTATCCGTTCCAAGTTCCAACAACATTACCAAGGCTCTGCAAGATAAAATAATAAAAAAAAAAAAATTATTCACCACCGACTTTGGACATTATAATGGTTGAATCGACAAGTACCTGCAAACATGTCTTTTAACTTCAGGATCGTCATCAGATATCAAGTAGAACAGGTTCTCTAAGAACGCATCCATGTGACACATAAGAGCATTTGCGCGATTTGATATGAATTGATTGATGCAACCAATAGCATGGGATCTTATCTTGGGTGATCCGTGTCTGAAAAATTGCAAAAATTTCGGGATCAGAACATCCAGAGGGTTTCTCACGGTATCTGCTTCAAGTTGTTCGGCAGAGTCCTCGCAAATTTTTTCCAAGGCATTAAACGCTCCTTTGCAAGCATTGTGGTCTTGCGAGTCTAACATTTGACACAGGGTTGGAAGCAATTCTGGCCATGATGACAAATCACCTAGCGAAAAGAAAAATGGATTTGTTTGATTGATAAATTATATTTTGCCAGTTGTAATGTTTAACGTCAAACAGACCTTTGGATGTAATGGTTGTGATCAAAATTCCAATTGTTGCTCGGATAAGAAGCGAAGGATCCGCTAGTGCAGACAAGCATTCTTGCTTTATGAAGTCTACAACTTCAGGATGAAACGTTTCAAAGTGAGTTCTTACGTTATTCTTCAGTATAAGACCACTGAGGGATCTCGTTGACTCTTCTATTTCAACATATCAATCATATAAAATTATTGTAGCTCAATTTAATAACGTGAGAGAAGAAAAAAAATTCTGATCGAGAGTTTAAAATATTACCTTCCGAGGTCAATTTCGTCAAGACAAAAATTAGATACTTGTTGAAGTCTGGATATTTGTTGAGTTCCTCCAATTTCTAGAAATCGCAATAGCTAGCTAAGGAAAAATGCTTGTACCTTGTTATAGACGCAAATCAATGCCAGTATACAGAGATAGTGGATGTATACGTACACCTGTATACAAGCTTCCAGCAGCTGTTGTTCACGTGCATCGTATACACGTACTATAAAATAGTATAAAACTCATGTCGCGCATTCACATGCCAATCCAATACTTTGACGCGCATTCGACACATGCACCCAAGCGACCTGCATGTGCCATCAAGGCGCACATGTATCTATACAGGTATTCAACACTTATCCTACAACCCACTAGCAAAAAAGAACTGCAGCGCTACTCTAGACTCGCTTTTAATTTTTTATTTCAACACTGAGTAATTTTTTTACTCGGCGCCTGAAACTTTCTGCGCATATTCTTGTGTGATATCACTCTGAATAGCTCGGACAACTGATTTTCTCAGTTAAAAAAAAAAAAAAAAAAAAAAAAAATCCTTACAAATATATCGACTCTATCCGTCTGTCGGAGGACACATCACGCGTTCACGAAAGAAAAGAGATAGAGAGAGAGAGAGAGAGAGAGAGAGAGGGATATATATACATATACTTTTAAGAGAACGGAAAGGAGATAAGTAGAGTAGCCAGGAAAGATAAGAGATACACCTACTAAAGTATAACAAGAGAGGAAAAGAGAGGCACCACAGAGGCGAGACGAGAGTCCATTTGTTAGGGATACGTATATGTATACATGTCGTCGCCGCAGCAGCGAAAGAAAGGTCGCACCATCAGCCGCGCACACTTTTCTCGAACTGGACCGGAATCGATGGGTGAAATTTATTTTCCCATTTCCCGTTGATTTTCGCGATTTTACCCATCCAAGAAATAAACATTACGTTTGAAAATGTATTTGAATGAAATTTACGACATTGGATAGAAATTTTACTCAGTTATTGGTATACCTTACTAAGCACGCGAGGGGGTACCTACACCAAGTATCCTACCTCTACATACATGGCACAGATTTCCGCATCCAGCACGTCTTATACGCCACGCTGTGCGCCCTTGGCAGACTTTTCCGTGGAATGCGAGCCCCTTAATATACCGTTTCTAAGTTAATGCACGAGTAGCTCGTGATTCCCATGAAGAGTATATAGGTACAGGCATGCACTTATCGAGATTAGAAACCTGAGAAACAGATGGCCAGAATAAAAAGGAAGCCATACGAACTTTGAGACCCAACATACACGCTAGATTGTCTCCGAGAGCTCGACTTTGGTGCCTGCTTAAATTTTTTTCATTTCTTTTACCTGTAAAATAATATCCGATTGTGCCAAGACTAAGATAATTGTTTGTTAGGATAAAGTGATGATATTGTTTATGTACTCGGGTTGCATTCCAGCACATTTAGGCAGTTTGGCCTCAACGGAGGTACTTACCTAGCGTGTAAGTAAAGTCGTCGCCGAGAAGAGCATACCCGCACACACGCACTTCCATCAGCCCTCCCCCTTCCCCTCGCCCCGTTACCTGTCCTTCGTAGCTGTATAGAGAGCACGTAGCACACACTATGCAGAGCGAAACTAAAAGCCAGCCCCCGAAGAGGAGGGAGCGGCCACTGGGGCTACTACTACGGGTTCACTAGCTTGATACGGTGTTCTCGAAAAGGATACTTTTTGCACGTCCCGTTGGATCTCGGTGTCGGGGCTCTGGGACTCCTTGAGCAAGGCCAGGATCTGCCGAAGTCCTTCCTCTTGCGGTTGCCACGCCATTTTCATCGTACCTCTCGATAAGAGCACCGAGCGCATTGGCCAGGCGTCTCGTCTGACCTCGCGTGCGAGCGGAAGCCCCCCACCAGCGCTCGTAGCGCCAGCAGCGCCGCGACAGTGAGGCCGCTGCTGCAGGGTGATGGCCACCGCCGCCGCCGGCGAATAACCTGCCGTCGTCGTCGTCGTACACCTGCTGCAGATATTGTTGGCCCGCATGGCCCTGATTTTACAGTGCTCGGGATGATAATGATGTTGAAATTATGGCCCAGAAGTTGGCTTTTTTCGACCGTTGGAACGACAATTGAAGGAGAGATATTATTTATACATCAGCAGCAGACGGTCAGTTCCGCTATCGACTGCTGGCGGGAGTTTTAAAAGGAGCTGACGTCTGCATCCGATGATTTTATTTTATTGATTGGAAGGCACATCAAGGACATTTTTTTTTTTTTTTTTTTTCGTGACTCATTGGTCTGATGGGTCTGAGTAAATTTTTATTCTTTAATTTTTTTTTTTTCAACAGTTTCATCGGGTTCTTTTGAATACGATGGGTATTTCTGTTGTAGGGGTTCTACTTTGAATTTATTTTGAATTCTTAATTGACATATAAGTAGATATATATACGGATGCCGTTAAGTCCGTTGACTTATGTGACGTTATCAAACGGATGTTCAAAAAAAAATTTTCTAGCGTAAGAAAATGACTTTCTTATTTTTTCTTCTAAAAAATAAAAACAAGGGACATAGCATTAATTATTTTGTTTACGTAATTTCTTCTACTATGTGTGCTTACTTTTAAATGCACACCTGATTAAATTTTTTTTTTATCTTTGATACCTTTTTATAAATGTTGCTATTATGATAGATAATTTTTTTATTTGAGGACGTTCATTTACAACATTGTTTGGAGTTTTTCCGTACATTGCTGAGGTCAGGACAGTGGGTAAGAGTAATGTAAGTATAAGATTGTTTTCAAAAACAATTACAAAATATTTAATAAATCGAATGTGTATAGCTTATAATATGTCTTTATGAGTATTAGGGTTTTAACAAAACTCAGATATAAATATAAATCAAGTACCATAAATTAGTCAGTACTGTAACTTTGGATTACAAACAATATAAATATAAAATTTTTTAGTTCTTTGAATTGTTAAAAATATTAGGTAAACATAATTAATATGAACACTACTTTGGTCGCCAAATTTCTATAACATCCGTGCCAGAAATAGCAAGTACTTCATTTAGATAATCAATCTATTAAACAGAAAAGAAAAAAAATAATTTTAAAAAACAAGTAAACAAAAAAATTAGTTAAATTAAAATGTAGCTAACAATTTAAAAAATCTTTACTTACACTTGATATTTCTCCGTTACTATATTTTAAAGTTGCCATTGATTGTAGAGGATCCGTAGGACTTGATATATGCACATTTCTGTCCAAGGAACTAGTTATTAAGCACCCAGCATCAACATATACGCCCGTAATTTTCTTCTCATGCTCAGTCTTGTAACTTTTGACTCGTTCAAAATCTTGTTTTGCATCTAATATATGGAGATTTGCACAGCTATCACCTACGTATACTAGATTTTTTTGAATACACAAACTCATTGGAAAAGAATCTTTTGAAATCTAGAATAAATGAAGTTTATAAAATTATATTAAAAAAAAAAAAAAAAAATCGTTTATTCGATTTTTCTTGAATATAAAAAATTACCATGACTGATGTTATCGATTTCCTTGTCCTATGGTCCCAAATATTAACAGTCTTATCTTCACTTGCTGAGATTATGTAATTTGAATTCATTGCCAGCCTTATGACAGCTCGATGATGTGGCTGATAGTTCGCAATTGGCTTATAACCACTGCGTGAATCAAATACAACTATATTTTTACAATAAGAGCCCGTTGCAAAAAGGCCCAACTCTGAACATGAAGTAACACATAATAAAGCACCAACAACAATCCTGAAAAAATTTAAGAGTCAAAGAAAAAAATCGTTTATGACTGTATAATCGTGAGCTCAAACAAGTTTGTTTAATTTTATGTACACATGGATTTGAGAACTTGTTTAAACTGCTAATACTATTTTCATTACGTTTCATAAGTCACAACAGGTTGTAATCCACTATTAGTCAATAACCATTCTTTAACACAACGATCCCAACTACAACTATAAACGGTATCTTTTATAGCTGTCAAATCCCAAATCCACCCATCATGTGCATCAGCAACTGCTGTAGAACCGATTTGACCACCTTCTTCCGACAATTTGCTTATTACCAGAGAACGATCCCTGCCACCTGATATACAAATCTGGCCACCCTGCGCAAAAAGTATTGATTTAGGAGGAAATTTGTCTCGAAACATTAAAATTACATGAAATATTCATTTTTTATTACATGCATTAATTTAAGTCCGTCAATTGCACTGTAATGAACATTACTAAGTAACAATTTTTCCATCATGATGTCCTTGTTTCGCCAAAGTTTTGCTTGTCTCTCAAGAGCAACACATGACAATTTCCAAAACAACTCATCTTTGTCAACTAAAATAAAAAATTTTTATCTTGAGCAAAATGCATCGAAAAACTGTTATACCTTTTAATATTATAATCTAAAAAAAAAAAAAAATGTTAATTACTACAATCAATATTTGTTTCTTACTGGAAGGCAATATTGGATAAGTGGCGTTTTGACAAACTTTGCTGATTCTAACTTTCCATATTGAATTATCAGTCAGAATCATGTGGAATTGCTTGCATGTCAAGCTCAAGCTGTGAACCAAAGTGGATGCATCCAGAAACGAACAAATATGTAGAAATACCTGAAAAAAATTTGTTTTGTTTTACAAAAAAATGAATTTTACTGAACTAGAATATAATATTGTTCAAAAATTTATTTTAAAAAAATCCGCNTGTAAGCCAAACCTATGGCAGGTGATTCAATTCGAACTAACGTTAACTGAATATTGATATAAATTGTTTTAAACAAGATAATAGGCGTCCTGTTCGTAACAAAACCATGTTACGTGATTGCATTATAGTAATGAAAAGATATTTGGCAACCAAAACTAAAAAAAAATCTATATTTTAGAATAAAGCTGAAAAATATTAAATTTTATTTGTTTTTCAACAAATGAAAATTTGTTGTAATGCTTCTTGTGCTAGTATTTAAATTCTTTTGATCAGCTGATAAGTTTTGAAATAAAAAACCACGCAGTGGGAACTTTAAAAATGGCGTCAAACAGCTGATCGGATTTCAAATAAAAGACAAGAGAACGAATGTCTATTTTGGGTTATTTCACGGGATATAATTAACCTCGACCCACAAAATGAGCTGCCTTTAAGAGTTGCTGGTGTACCTATAAGATTGCATGCAACTTTATCACGTAGTTCTTTGACATGTACGGAGAGACTCGTCTTCTCCTAGAAACTCATAGTATTTTTTTGTTTCGATTGCAGCTACTTCAATAAATATAAGATTTTTAGAAATTCTCTTATCGAAAATATTCAGCGCTGATTGAAAAATAACTAAGTATTTATAAAGCATTTTTGATATGTTGTGGAGGTAATCGCGATAACTCGAAAGGTGTTTAGGATCCCAAGTGGGCAAGGGGGCAAAGCCCTCGGCTCTTTAAGGATTCTTGAATTTGCATGCAATGTTTACATTTGTTAATTTTTATCATCAGTCAACTTTAACTTGCGTGGATCCCTTACATGATGCCTTACTTGTTACTTTGATGGATAAATTAGAAGTAATACCGTTAAGTGATCAGCATGAACAAATTAAAAAAACTCACTTCAACTGGGAGGTCGAGGAGCGAAATGCCGCAGGTGCTTTCGTCGTCGTCCCCACAACTGACACTGCTGTTGCTGCACGAGCCCGATGTCTTGTCGTCGCTGTCGTTGAACGAGACCTCCTGGTGCGATGTCTTGTCGAACAAGACGCCACTCGCATCGTCGAGCTCGTCCAAGGTGGTGTGCGCAGATACCACAGGAGCAACGGCCTCGGCGTCGCACATTGTGCTGGTGCAAAGTCAGCTGTGATGATGGTAATATGGGCATCCGCGACTCCTGGGGATATCTCTCCCCGTCCTAATTTTTGCACACTACGCCAGCAGTAGCTCTTATTTTAGGCACAACGAAGACTTTGTTTTTGTTATTGATGAGGACACTTTTATTTTATCATCGGACGCCAACAGCGACGATCTCACATATTACTTATCAAGCACTTTATATATTTTTGCATATTCAACTTATCCAGCTGTTTGACAGGTAAAATGTACCTGTACGAATAAAGGTAATCAATTTATCGAGGACGTGTTGTTGTCCTTCGATTACCTAAAATTGGTCTGAACAATGACCTGGTCTATACTCTGACGTCTGACACTAAACTAAACTAACTCCCGTCTGCAACTCTGCAGCGATGCGGATTGTGAAATTAAATGTGAAATGACTCATGCGCGAAGGAGCTATAGCAACTATAGCTATATATAGCTATATGGTTGGAGTAGTTTTGTATTTTGTTTTGATGTAAAATAAACTTGCTGTTTCTTTGATTAAAAAAAAAAAAAAAAAAAAAAAAAACTTCAGAAAAAAACCATCCATCAATGTAATTTGAGGTATAAATTTTTAAATTCATCATATTGTACGAATAGGTGTTTCTACATGTAATTAAGCTATAAACATCTCGTTCTGATGCAACTACATTTTGGTAAACTTTTTTTTTTGAAAAGTTAAATGTACACGCAAAATCGTAAAAATTCAGTTTTGCAAATAAAAGTTATAATTTATTATATCGCAAAAAGTGTTAAAACTTACAACTTGCGGATTTTAAAAAATTTACTCGCACGTAATTTTCGTCCAAATAAATATTTTGAATAATTTTATCTAAAGCTAAAAAGTTAAAAAGGAATTTCAGCTGAAAAAAAAAGTAGTTTCATGAGCCAGACCGTTATTCTTAGCATGTGTGTTTATGCGACTTTAAGATTAAATTAGTAAAAAAACAATTTCTTCAATGATTTTTCGGAAATACTTGTGCTACTTATATACTAAATATTTATACACGTATAATATAAATGTAGGTGTGTAGGTGTGCATATTTAAAGACAGTAATTCACCAAAAGTATAGATCATCTTGTAAAATCGCCTTTATTAATTCACTAAAAATTTATCTTGCTTCCTGAGCGCAAATCACAGTTTCCTGTTTCTTTAGTAATTTTAACAGTTTTAGGCATAATAAATAATACAGCACAGCTTTAATAATAATACAAAATTCTGTATTTCAAATATTTTGTCGACTCTCGGAACATTTAATAAAATTTCAACGATTGTAACATTTTCATTATAATAAATCTGAGATGTGTTTCTAAAAACTATCTACAACATTATACCAGAAAAATACATTTATCACATGTACCTAGTTTAATTTTATTGATCCATCCCATTCTCTGCATAACATTTGACTCATTGAACGCTGTATTTACATTTGAGCTTCAGTGATAACTTAAACAACAGTAGTAATAAAATTTACATTAAAAATTCTCGGTTGGTTAAAAAAAACATTCATACGTCATACTAAAAAAAAATTAACTCGTTTAATTAATTACTCTTACGACGTAAAAAATGTAACAAACTTTTTTTTTACTGTATAAATTCATTGTTTTTTTCAAATATCACATTTCTTCATTGCTTTGAATCTTTGTATACAATAATAAGAAAAAAAATTCAAGCCCTTGTATAAATTACTTTAATAAATATGTCAAAAATAAATCAAAACGAAAATTTCAATTTCTAATGATTTTCCAATAAGTACAAATCATCAATTAAATTGCATTTAACTACTACATTGCTCATACTCTTGCAGCAACTTTGTAAAATTGATTATTACAAAAGACATCACCGCACCACATGCAGAGCCAGCTTGCATTACGATTCCAACGTGGAAAAGTTCTTTCTCAGACTTTCTTCGAAATACTGACGTAATTATGAGCTTAGTGTATGCAATGAGACCCACCAACAATGTCCACGATAATACCACCAAAGTTTTGCCCATCACAGTACCTTGAAAAGGGGGATTCGGTGAGGACAAAGCTAGATACGTCACGTAACCGCTCACAGTGAAAATAACGATGGAAAATAAATTGATGAGTTTCCCGCTATGCGGAAGAAACCAAAGAGCGAGAAAACAAGCAATTGGGTTGACGATTTGCGATAATGTGGCGCTCAAATGATACGTCATATTTCCATACGACAAACATGAATATGGTTGAAAGCCAGGGAGTAGTCCGTTGGCTAAAAGACAAATTATGCCTAGAAGAATATACAGGTATAAACTTTCTACATTTTTGTGGCTGCTGGTTTGCGAGTAATATGTTTTAGAAAATTTTTTAACATCAGTCTTGTGGTTGTCGTCCAAACAAACGTGCCTTTCTAAGACTTGGCATTCAGTCGTCAAACCATTTGATGACATCAATAAGTACTTTTGACAAGAAAGACCTTGCTCGTTGTTATCGATATTAGAATTATTGTCCAGAGACTGAGAGGGAATTTTTTCTTTCTCAACAAAAGAAAGGTTTTCCAAAAGAAGAAATGCTAGTAGAGATAAAAGTAGGCATGCAAATATAAAAAGAAAATAACATTGAGTTGAAAATCTGGGTGAGTGGATATCTAATACATTATTTGTATCTGTACTGTTACTACAACCCGAAAATTCCCCGACACCTTGAATAAGAGCAACAATACTGGGTAGTACTCCTCCGATACCTTCTCCCACAAAATAAGATACTAAGTAAATTTCTTTGAAATTCTTAAGATGAGGCATAAATAAAACAGAACTAGTGCAGCTAATCGTTGAAACGAAAAATGTCAATAGAAACAGGGCAACACTATGATCATTGCCTGCGATATTGAAAGTTTTGTCGTAAAAGAATGACATCATTCCCATCACGCAACAACCGATGACAAGCATTAAAAAGATACATTTTGATTCGTTGATTTGCACCAAAAACTTGTGTACTAAGCTGTAAATTATAGGTGCAATGTTTGCTGCTTGAACGGCTATAGTTAGATGTGCTGCTAATCCCCATCCTTCTGGTAAAAAGTTTATCAATAGAGGAAGTTGAATGAAGATGCTATTAACCCCGATCCAGCAGGAGGCTCCAAAAGTCATAACTAGTATATGCACAATTACAGTTCTGACAGTACACTTTTCACTTTTTTCTGGAGCTGTGTCCATTTTTTATCCTGTGTCTTCAAGGTTTCTATCCTCGTATTATCTGGGATTAGAATTATAATTTTTCAACACGAAAATATGATAGTTAACATCGCGAAATTGAAAGTGCAAATTAGCGTATTTTAACATACAGTTTAAAAATGTATATTTCAAAATTATAGTCGTAACGGGTTTGTTTGAAAAATAAATTTTTATAAATACAATTTCAAGAGAAAATGAACAAAATTCAACGTGACTATTGGAAAAATTTGGAATTTCAACTACCGAACGATTTCACGATAATTTGAAAAGCCTCGATATTACTCTTATGTAAAGAAGTTACAAACTCGGAAGATAACCACAATATACTTACATAAATAAAAAAAAAAAAAACAAATAGCTTCTCTATGCTGGCGCGGAAAGTTTACAATAACTTGTAAGTCTAGCAGCACAGCTTGTTGCCATTTGGCTTGTACAGTACACAAGGCTCGGCATGTCCACGCATTAACTTCCAAATTGAATAATCAACAGAAATAACGCATCGCATGCGTCATTTGGACAGTTGGATGCCAAATCGTGGAAGATAAGAAAAATCGTGTAGGAATAATGCGCAGTAGTTAAGTTCGAGTGCTGGACTTGATTGCCTTACAGCTAGGATTAAGATTGATTACGACCAGTGTGGAGCGAGTTGGAGTCGCGGGAAAGACTTGTACAGGAGACGTTGTACACACTACACTGAGCAAAGCGAGCACGTTTTGCGTCAACATTAATCTTTGCTGGGTAAAATGTGTATTTGTTTACGTCTGTTTTTTTAAGTGTTCATAAGATAAAGAAAAAAGATCCGATCTTATTAACGCGCAACGTATCAACGTGCCACTGTCAATTTTGTCGGCATCGTCATTGAATATGTCAGAATGTATCTCATCACCGGCGTTGCATGTTTTACTGCATGTATTGTGTTTTAAGTACATGGCATTTTTCTATTGGTTCTATTCGTGAGAGCTTTCAAGAAAAAAGAGTACGAATTTCATGTTTGCATTAGAAGAGAATAGCATATAAACGAGATATGGCTATGGTTTCGTTGATTCTGGAATGATTTCTTTGGATTGGGATTTTAGTTTTCCTTCATACGGTTGTATGATTATGTGTTGCTTATATGGGTAGGAACATTTTCCGCGACTTTATACAATTACTTTTGTAATTACTATAACTTCTCATTGTTAACAAAGCATACAAAGAAGTATTTTGAAAAATACTTACTAATAATTCACTAAATGCATTTTTTGCACAGCTTTAAAATTTTGTTTAAAAACTCCTTCTACCACTATTTTAATGAATACGAATTTCTGAAATTAAGAAATTAAATAAGTATCTAAAAAAACACTTATACAAAAGGTTCAATGACTAACATCGAGGCAAGGGGAATAACGTCGGAACCATCCTGTTTCGTTGACCACAACAAAAGAAATAATTGCTCCTACTAAAGAACCTAGTTGTGTTGCGATTCCAGTGTAATATAGACCCTTACCGGGGTCTCGTCGGAAAATTGTAGTGATGCACATTTTGATAAAACCAATAAGAGCAGAAGTACACACCCACAGTATTACTACAAAAGCTTTGCCTAGCCAGGAATGTTGCAAGGGGGGTGTTGGTGAACTAAGAGCTACATAAAAAATCATGGAACCAAATATCAAAAATACCCCCATTAAAATAGATAAGACTTGGATTTTTGGAACCTGAATAAAAAAACCTGAGCATAATGCCAAAGGTAAGGCCATAGATGCCAAATTTATAGTCAAGTGATATGCAATGTTATTGTATGGCAAACATGAATAAGACTGTATACCTGGTAAAACTGCATTTCCTAGCATGCAAACCACAGCCATCATTCCTAATAGGTAAAAATAAGTTTGTTTGGACATTGACCAGTTTGTATCGGACATATAACTTGCTGGAGCATTCATGTCCATAGCTACAGTTTCAAAGTTAGCTGCAGCCTTGACTCTTTCCCCTTTAGCTACCGCAAATTTATTTAAACTAACGAATGCCAACAAACTTGAAAATAAAATACTTCCCAGGATAATAAAGTAAGTCTTGGAAGAGAAGTTGGGCTCTGGGTAGTATTCTTCAAGTTTTGATGATCCATCTGGACTGGTCACGTTGCGACATTCTGCATTGCCACCAACACCTTGCACTAGAGCCACAATACTTGGCAAGAAGCCACTTAGTCCTTCACCAACAAGGTAAGAAACAAGATAAATTTCTCTGTAGTTTCTCATATAAGGCATAAAAAGAACTGAGCTTGTACAGCCAACAAATGACGACACAAACATCAAGCCCAGTAGATAAGTCGAGTGCTCGCTTCCAAAAATATATGAAGATTTGTGATGCACAAAGGCTAGAACGTATACTGATAGTGCACCACCTCCAAGTATACCATATATGATGTAATGGTCTCTCCCCCATGCTAAATATCTAGAAAAAGCAATATATCATTTTATTGGTATATATGATTACATGTGAAAACGTTACTGTATAGTATAAAAATTCATGTGTATCATTATTCAACTAGAATGAAAAGATTCTTACTTGTTGTAAATTGCATACAATATAGGCCCTAAATTGGCAAACTGAACGACCATAACCATAAACACGGGAAGATTCCATCCTTCGGGTGCTGATTGAACAAGTAGTGGCAATTGAACATATATGCCATTCACACCAACCCATGCACCTGAAATAATATCAATTAATATCGTTGCTAGTATAATTCCAGAGCAGACGCACAATAACATTTTATTGATACTATAAAATTACGTAAGTACAATCTTAAAACTTTGGTCACTGGCAAGGACGTATCAAAAATTTATTGCAAAAAAGGATTGCATAGTAATAATAATAAATCGCATTCACGTACCAATTCCAAACAAGACTGCCAGGACATCCACAACTATCTTTCGATTGCTCAGCTTTTTTAGAAACATCTGTGTACACATTTTTTTGTCGGCTTTTGGTTCTTTAAAACTTTCAGAGTCAATATTAACTCGGATTATCGGGACTTACGTAACTTGACGTTTGTTCACGCAGAGTCAGTCGAACATACAGCACTTCCAGATTCAATTTTTTAATAACTAATACGATGTAACGAATAATTTATTTGCATCGTTGTAATCTTTGTGCCAATGAGAACGTTGTACTCGACGTTGTACGTAATGATTATTTGCTGACTTAAAATCTCTTTATCAGGTACAGCAGATGACGTTAGCACTACTGTAGGTGAACAGCAGATTTGGTGAGCCAACTAAAATGTTACTACTTAATATTATCTTATATAATCCAGTCAATTAATAAAGTTGACTCTACTCTAAAAATGTACACATGGGCCTAATGCCGTGTGACACTGATGACATAAATATATATTAGTAGTGGATTTGTGGCGTCTCACATCTCTCGCGCTTCAGGCTCTACTCGCTAGGTGGCCAAGCCCCTAATAGTCAACTCCCGTCAAGCGGCGAAATTCCCGCACGATTACTATATAAGCGCGATCGAGTTTTAATTGGCCCACACCTCTTCTGTGTGTAAGGGAGCCTGTACATGGGTGTCTGAATGTTTTAAGACTGTCAGCCAAACCTATGGCAGGTGATTCAATTCGAACTAACGTTAACTGAATATTGATATAAATTGTTTTAAACAAGATAATAGGCGTCCTGTTCGTAACAAAACCATGTTACGTGATTGCATTATAGTAATGAAAAGATATTTGGCAACCAAAACTAAAAAAAAATTTGCTAACGCTGAGTCGTTAAAAAGAGAGGATATGTTGACAAAATTATTGTATTAACATGAATTGTAGAAATTTTTCATTGGATGCCTTAAAGACGTTCTAACCTTATAATGTAAACACGTTACATATTTTTATTACGAATAAAGTGTCTATTTCCTTGTTTAAAACAAATTACATCGGTATTCAGTTAACATCAGTTTGAATTAAATCAACCGCCATAGGTGTGGCTTACAGGCTTAAGACTGTAAGACGCCCATGTACAGGCACCCTAAGGCAGGGAGCACGTCATCAGCCTTACTGATGAGTCCTGGCGTGCTCTCGGGACGAAACACCTTTTACTCACTCAAGTAGTTGACCACATTTCCTACAGATTCGCTTCATTCGCCACAACCGCTACTTGCGGTGGTTTGAAGAACTAGGTATTAAAATCAAATCGACACTGCACAATCAAACTTTGTTTAAATATTTGCAGGTAATTTTTCTGTTTTTTTTTTTTTTTATATAAACTAAATACAGAGGTTAAAATTCTTCGAGAGCGTAGAGTTTTGTTTAAAATGCGATTGTTTAAGCAAATATCACAAAAAAAGTTCGAAATGAAACAAAAATTCATAACTTTTTCGATGATTATTTTAAACGAAAATTTAAAAGGTGTGTATCTTTTGAAACAGTGTCAAACAACCAGAAACACTGCAAATTTGTTCAAAATTAAAATTGCAACTTTTTGGTATTTACCTATGAGTAATTGCGTTTTCAGCAAAACTCATTCGGGTGATTTTAACTTCTGAATGAAGATTCTACGCGGGAAAACATCACACTCACCTACTCCCCCTGGACTGGATACCTCAGTGAACACATATTCCAATGTAAATGACGATAGCACACACACGCAGAGCTGTTAAACGCACAGTTCGTCAGAATAGCTGTAAAATGTATACATAAAAAAATTAAGTTACGTATACCAATAGTACACTTCATATTTTAAATCGTATGTATCCTACAATTATTATATATATATAGGTATTAATCCAACTGAAAAATCAAAACAAAAGTAAACAATTTTTGTACATCGCGCATGAAATTAAATAACTTGCAAAAGAGTTCAAAGCGAGAAAAAACTGTTCCACAGCAGCGTTTTTCTGTTACGCGATATGTTATAGTCTCGCCTCGAGATACCATAGAGAGCAATTTTCATAATTCGCACACTTTTCCCCGAACACGAGAGCTCTTTTTCCAGTACCAATGAAAACATTAGGGAAAAAAAGTTGAAATCAAATATTAATGCCTCATCGATCTGTATTGCAACACCTCGAGCCTCAGTACCTTTGCACGCATTCTTGAGAACCAACATATCGTATACACGAGTGTACAGAGAAATATAACATCAATATTATTATATTAGAAAAATGTGATTAATGTATTGAGAAAAAATAATTGTTTACGTCTGATACTAATCTATAACTGCTTTTATTCTCGCTTTCAGGTAAGTGATATCGAGTGAAAAATTCTTTATTTTTTTATTTATTTTTTTTTTATCTCACATTAAATTCAACTTCACGTACGTAGATGGCGAGTATATAAAATTTTTTCATTCGTGTACTTGAGTTTAATCAATTATACTTACAAAGAACGCGATGCGTAAAAAGCGCTATAACTTTACTGTATTTTTTAAATTTCCTAACAATGGATATAGGTGTACGACTGAAAGTACTAAGGATGTAGGTGGACTTTATAAGTATCTAAATTTGCTAAAAAATGGTATTAAACTTTTATCATAAAACAATTATATTTATAAGAAAAAAAATTTTTTAATAAAACTGATTGGCAGTACAATGACCGGCACTAATGTTGATTATCTTAATGAGATTGAAAATAAACGTACTGTAAGTGTACAAGTATTAATTTGATATTGAAACAACGTATTGTTTTTTATCGTATTGACAAGTATTGACGGAATATTTACTAATAATTTGTTTCATTTTTCTTTTTGTAAAAATCCGTGCAAGGACTCGCATAAAACGTGCTTATACTCGTATGGGGGAGGTGAATTTCACGCATCGAGATAAAAAAGTTTATGCATAATAGAAAAAAAAACCCCGCAGATAATGGAGTCCTTGAAAATCTCCTTTGCAATACTATCCATTTGCGGAATATGGAAACCAGTGGGCATCAACTCGAGCAGCAGTAAATGGGCCTATGACGTTTGGCGCCTGCTATTCATGCCCCAACCATACCTATTTGCTTGTGCACAGTTGGCTCGTATAGTCCTCGTGGACTTGAGCTTCCAAGAAATCACGGAGATTCTCTTTATTTTCATCTCGATCCTAAACATCTGTTGCAAGTCTGTAAACTACGTTGTTCGGCGTAAGGACATCATCAATTTGACGTCGATGCTCAGTACCGATTGTCTACTCCCCAGGGATAAAGAGGAAATTGAAATTTATCGGCGCTGTCGACAATTTATACGGTACAAATTTTTATATTTGCACTGAGTTTTTTTTTACAATTTATCTTAACGTATTAAGAACCAAACACATGTTTTTTATTTTTTTATTTTTCATTACCAAAAAAAGGGAGAAAACTTAAAAGTTGTTATCATTCATCTTTATTTAAAAGTTTTCAGACCCGAGGAAATAAGTTTTAAACTCTATTATCCATCGTACAATTGGACAGAGCAAACCACTGCACCAAAGCACTTGTATTTAAAAATTATTCCTCTTATTCATATAGGTACACCTTTCCCGTTTAAAAAGAAACTAATGTTCTGTTTAAAAAAAAGACTCACATCTTGTTGTCGCAAATTCGATATCGTATGATTATCTATAGTAGACACCCGAAAAAAAAAAAAAAAAAAAAAAAAAACAACCATTGAACAAAATAATCTGCGTAACACCAACAGTATATCCATTCGAAGGGACTATTTATGAATGAACTGAGAAAAGGGGGATGAATAATAAAAAGCGCGGACACGCAGATACGTGACGTTGTCGAGCGTCGTCCTGGTGGAAATAACCGCCCTGATGTTCCTGTGCTTGCCGCTGTTCCGAAGCAAGAGGGCCAGCCGCGAGCTGCCCTTCCCGATCTACGTGCCGTGGTCGGAGAACAAGTTCTGGTCGACTTACGCGGGGGAGTTCCTGGCCATCATGACCGTATCCTCGATATCAGCGTCCAGCAACACCCTCATTTTCGGGCTGCTGCTCGAGGCTCGCAATCAATTCGACCTGTTGGCCTACAGGTTCGGCGCAATGTCCCGGCACGGCATAATGCTCGATTGCGATGGCGTTGGTGGCTTCGAGGAGAGAACTTTGCTGGTCCAAAATATTCGGCATCACGGGGATATTTTCAAGTTGGTACACAATAACACAATGGGCATGCTTGTGCACGATAAAGAGCCTGGAACAACAATAGAATTTTAATTATATCATATTTCAATCGCCGAAGCCTTTTTTTTTTCATTGAAAGAAATAAGTTCAGTTGGTAGATGTTTTCATTTCGGAATATTCTTGCATGTAATTTCCATTAAGACGATTTTTTAAAGATTATTTTTTGCTGTATTCGAGTAGCACGGTAAATATTCAGGATTTAAGAAAAATTCTAGATTATGAATGAAATTTCCCCACTCGGAGTATGAGAATACAAGCTACGGAATTTGATTCTTACCATTAACATTTTTTTCCTATGAAAAAAAAAAAAAAAAAAA